GGTGAAATGAGGACCCGGATTGTTGGGGGCGATATGCTGACTCTGTAAACCGCTTAGAGAGGGCTGAAAGCCCTATGAAGCGGTATATAAGTCTTTAAAAAGAAGAAGAAGAAGAATCACACATTGCGGTTGTGACGCATATTTTGAGTGACAGGGAGCCGCAGCAGAGGGATGAAAGAGCCACACGCGGCTCCAGAGCAGCGGGTTGCTGACCCTTGTTCTAGTCCAACCCCCCCCCCCCCATCTAATTCTCATGGCCATAAGAATCCCATCTATCCATCTCATGCGAATCGCAGCCTTTCCCCCTGAGCCTTCCTCTTCCACAGTTGGCGACAACAGCAGAATCAGTGCAGGTCAACAATGGAGCTCACCAGGGATGGGAAAACGCCATCAATTCTCTCCCTGGACTCCCAGTGCTACAAATGCATCCTCCCCATTTTCTCCACATCTGTGCTCAGAAGTAGCCAGGGCAACAGGCAGAAGAGGTTCTCTGGGATAGTAGCCCAGAATTTCCTGGAACACAGTGGGCCTGTCTGGCACCCACAGTTTCATTACCGTCTCTTCAATGGCTTTTCCCTAAATAAGCAACCATAATGACCGAGACCCCCAATCAGGAACAATTCCCCCACCCCCGCAGCTGTGTATCCATCTCGCTCTTCCCCTGATCTCCATTCATCCGCTGATTCGCCCGCATTTTTGGCTTCAGCTTCTCTCCCAGGGCTTGGGGTTGGCAGCCACCATCTGGAAACATTTGGCCGCTCAGCTGGCACTGGGCAAGGAGGAGAGGGCATCTTTTCAATGGAGGCCTGGCTGGGGAATTCTGGGAGTTGAAGTCCAGACGTCTTCAAGTCGCCAAGGTTGAGAAACACTGGCCTAGAGGACCCATTGTTCCTGCTCGCCTCCGGATGCTGAGCTTCTTGAGAAGGTTGCAAGTCAACAGCTAAGCAGAGGAGAAGGTGGGGTGCAAGAGCCAAGGGGTCTTATTGAGGCAAGAATTGGTTGACATCCCCCCCCCACAGTGAATCAAAGCATCCCAGCTCCAAATATGGGGGGGGGGAACCCTCCTTCGCAGATGTGTTCACAAGAACGCAGCCCATTAATTTACTCAGCAAAATAAGTTATTATTGCATAAGCTGTAATGAAGAGTTGTCTTCCAGATTTTCCAGTCTCTTGGCCACATAAGTGGCTCGATTCTGGGGGACTAGGGATGGGCAGCCCGGTTCTCTGCTCAGCATAAATATGTAATTATAGGCTAGGCGAACCACAGAGGCAGGAAGAAGATTCGGAGGTGGGAATGACACCCCTTGCAGCTGTGATTTAAATGCCCAGCGAATCCTTTTCGTTTCCTCTTAAGAAAGAAGCCGAAACAGCCATTAGATAGCCGGAAAGTTCCGTCCATCAGCTCCTCCCACCTTTGCTCTCTTAGATCAAGCGGCATTTCGGGGGGGGGTGTGTGGCCTGTACCCCCAGATCCAGAGGTTGCAACCAGACGCAGGTGTTAGAACTGCGTACAGAGACTTGTGTCAAATATACGGTTTTGTATTCTGATTCTTACTTCCATTTTCTCTGAGCGTTTTTAATATTTCTAATTCACCTGATCACCGGAGGAAGGACCCCTGCGGTGTGGACAAGAGGCCGCCTGAGGGTTTTGATCTGTTTGAAAAAGATCCCGAGGCAGATACAGGGGGAGGGGGATCAATAACATTGACACCGAGCTGTGATCCGAGGGAAATGTAGTACAAAATGTTCTGCGGATGATACGCGTAAGTCCACCAACAATGGCCAAGGTGGATGAATCATGTCGCAGGAAACGCTGAAAATGGTTCGAAGGAAGATTGTTTTTTTCATTCATTGTGGTGTGATTAAAGGAACCCAGTAACGCCAATTACTGGAAAGAAATGCAGACCCAAAGATCTAGAAAAATTTAAAAACCTCAAAACCATACATATTTTTTTCAATACAGATGATCCCAAGGAACACAAATGAAAAATACAATTTATTAAGATATGCGTTGATCTGGCACTGAAAAAGAGAACTCCTGCTATCAATAGGATTGAACAACTAAAATAGAAGAACACACAATTAATGAAAAATATAATGGCCTTTCATTTAGTTATATATCTTTTTAATTTATCTATCTTAGCCTCGATTTACAAACACAATTGAGACCAAAGTTTCTCTTGCTTAAGCGAAACATTTCTTAAGAGACGTTTTACCACCTTTCTTGCCACAGTTGTTAAGTAAATCACTGCGGTCGTCACGTTAGAGAGAAAGTTGTAAAACGAATCTGGCTTCCCCGTTGACTTTGCTCCTCAGAAGGTCGCAAATGTGAGTCAGCTGTCAAGCCTCTGAATTTTGCTCACATGACCACGGGGGATGCCGTAATGGTCGTAAGTGTGAAAACGGTCATAAGTCGCTCTTTCGGTGCTGTCGTAACTTCGAACAGTCGCTAAATAAGCGAGGGTTTCCTGTCTTCCATTTTCCGCGCAGGCGTCTCCCTAAATACAAGACCTCACAGGCAAAGAAAGCGAAGGCGGGTAGAATACGGGTTTCGAAGGGAGAAAATGAACTATTTAAAATCCTCACCGTCCTCCAGAAAAAAAAAAGAGGATCTTGGAATCTTCTGGGCCTAGAAATAGGCCAGTAATTGGGACATTTATGAAATTATGCAGAGAGGAAAAAGTTCTCCATTTTTGAATGCTCTGATAGGTGGCATTTATTTTTTATTTTTTTATTAAATAAGATTTTATTGGTAAAACGAAAATACAACATCCATAACTTGTGAAAAACAATACAACTACATTTTGAGATATTCCCATACTATCAAATCATTATAAACATCAAAGGTTAGGTATCTTATTCCTTCCCTCCCTCTTCTCTTCCCTCATTTCTTCTTTTCCATACCCTTTTCTTCCCGCCCCTTACTTCCTTCTCCCCTGCCTTCCCTCCTTTCTTCTCTCCTCTCCTCCTTTCCTTCCCCATCCTTTCCCTCCCTCGATCCCCCCTCCTTCTCAT